GTAAGCAAACTAGGTTGCACCACCTGAAAAATATTTTTAAATAAGAGTATATTTAACATTTGGGAGGCCTGAAGGTTAATATTGGTTAGTATATAAATTAGTTATTCATTTACCACCATGTTGTCTAACAAGATTAAAAGAAATGAATTTCTCATTAGACACTGTCCAATAGAAACTCAGAATATTAAATAAATTCACTGTTCTGTAAAACATTCAATAAAAACCTAAAAAAATCTCCTTCTAATAATGATTTCTACAACAAAAGAATTTTGGCAAATAATACAAGCTCAAGGCAACCAAGTTAGATTTTTAAACATATCCCCTTTAACACAAATAATAGGTATAATGAAATGAGGTGAGTGTATTTTAGCAAGTCCTACAGCTTTTTGTAAAAAAAATTTTTCTCCAGGCTCTCATGTTTCCTATCCACAAAACCATGAGAAAAAATGTGTCACTCAGCTTCTTCAGTGGAGATGTTCTTTCCATTATTCATACTCCAGTATTCACTTAGAAAGACATTGCCTTTTTTTTTTCTTTCCTTAGAATGTATCTATGTATCTTTGTTGAATTGCCCCTAAGGCAGAACAGAATCCTAGTAGAACATCTTTCTGAAGTGACTGACAGGATTAAGAATACAGGTGATTTGTCATTATGGTTAACCTGAAAAACGAAGGAGAAAAGTAAAACAATAATAAGAGCCTACCTGGAGCTTTAACTCTGTTCTAGACGAGATAAATGCAAAAATGAATCTCATGAGCAACCTCAGGGGCTTTCTTTGACATTTAGAAACAAAGAGGAACAACTTAGTAAATAAAATCTTTGTTTACTGTCTTGAATACTACAAATAAGCACTGTCCTGTTCTGTTAATACATCTATTATCTGGCTCTGAAAACTACAGTGCTAAATTAGTGACATCATGGTAATGGTAATAGAATACAATAGTATAGTGATTATTCTTGATAATTAACGATTTGGTATATAGTTACTTACCAGTGCTGAAGGCCCAAGGTTATTTACCCCTTTACCATCCCAGTGTTTCCTTGGGCACTCAGAAGTCTTATTTATGACCACTAGCCTCAACATGTGTGTTTTGCTTCCTGTCCAGACGTCCCCACTTAGCTACTTCCTACCACTATAGTAATAAAGGCTTACTCCCAGTTCCTCTCCCTCTCCCTCTTCATATATTTCTCTCTGCACACCCTCCCATCCACCAACCCTGGCCTCCTCTCTCTCCCTGCCTCCCCCTGAAAGTGGTCCTGTGTGGTATACCATGCTTTGCATCCTCTGGGAAACTATGAGTAATAAACTCTTCTTTTAAACGTAATTGTCTCTGTATCTCTCATCTTATGCAGGATTAAAACAAATCCTAGACTTATATTAAAATAGTCTAAGCATATTATTAAAAATTGTCCTACCTGTATATTTCTTTGAATTTTTCAAAGACTTAACTAGTTTTAGCACTGATATCTGTCTTGTAGATATGTATGTATGTATGTAATTTATTCATTCATCCAAATATCCATACAATACTAGGCCCTACTGGAGATACAACAATGGGAAACAAAACTCTTGCCCCCATAAAGTTTATACTCTAGGAATTACAGTGGTAAGTGAGGTGAGGAAGCGTATCTTTTATTTCATTTGAATTCCCCACTTTTCTTCTCAGTGTTTCACATATACTAATATTCCATAATACTTCCTGAATGATTAAATTAGTTATCTCCTTTGTGCTGCAGAAGCCATTTTCTCTATCCTTCCTTTATTATTGAATAGTGGTTTACAGTTAAGAGACTTTCAATGGACTTATCTCACTTGATGAATACTATGAAGTAGAGCACTGTTGAATGATACAATAATTCAAGCTGTTGGATTTCACTGTAGGGAATGAACAACCTTACCAATTACTGGTAATGCCTTAGGTAGACATTTAACATGCCTTAGGCATGTTATGTCTTAGGCATGACATCTAACAATTGTCATATATATTATAAAAAAACAGAAACAAAAATCAAGAGCACCTGAAGGGGAAACAAATTATATTTTCCCACCCTTGATTCAATAATTTATGAGACATGGCAGGGCATGGTGGCTCACACCTGTGATCCTAGCATTTTATGAGGTGGAGGCAGGAGGATTTCTTGAGGTCAGGAGTTCGAAACCAGCCTGAGCAAGAGTGAGATCCCCCATCTCACTAAAAATAGAAAAACTTAGCCAAGTGTGATGATGCAGGCCTGTAGCCCCAGCTACTCAGGAGGCTGAGGCAGGAGGATCGCTTGAGCCCAGGAGTTTGAGGTTGCTGTGAGTTAGTCTGACACCACGGCACTCTAGCCAGGGCTACAGAGCAAGACTCTGTTTCAAAAGCAGACTCTATCTGCTTTCACATTAAAGCAGACCCCATATGTGAGGCTGGAGGAGCAGGGACAGAGGGAATGATCTTTGAGGGCATTTATATAATTAAGAATGCCAAATGGTAAATAAGCTGTGTAAATGAAAATTGTTGGCTAAGGCTCTATGGAGTATCAGTTGCTATCCCACTGGGAATTTAAACCAAGTCCTAAAATTAGCTCTAAAATTGATCTACGTCTCTTTCAAATATATTAATAAGTAATTGATTTGTATTTTAAATATATATACCATCTTACCAAAAAGGATAGGGATCTGAATTTTTTCCTAGTGTCTCACTTTCTTACCTATACAGGGGAATCAGATTACCTATTGAAGTAGATATTACACTTGCACACTCAATATTCATCAATTTATCCCCTTTTCTGCCTTTTCAACACCCTTCTTAAGAGTTTCTGTGTCTGTACGAGAGGACGTCCCTCCCCTTAGCCTTGGGATATAAATTTCAACTGGCCTAAGCCCACCATGGAGCCTCAACACCCTTGTCAGTGATAGCACAGGCACTCAAAGAAATTCTAAGTAATGGACATGAGTGGTGAATCTGTGAGGGGAAGAGGGTTTCCTTAGTATTAAGAAGAGGCAGAAGATAAGGGTGTTCCCTTTCTTTGCTTCTGGCCATCTTCTGTAATCAGGAACTGAGAGAACCATTTTAGGACTGTGAGGGAAACCAGACTAGAGAACAAACCAACACACTTAAAGATGGCAGAGCAAAAGGAAGGAAGGAACCTAGGTCCCTGACAATATCATTAAGACACTGAATTAACCAAACCTAGGAATCACCTTACCTCCACACATCTAGCTATGTAGGATTTAAAAAGTGGGGCTTAAACCATAAGGACATTTAGTAAGGTTTCTGTTACTGCAGCTGAAAGCATTTTAACTGATAATACCTTCTCTTTTTCAACAGTTTCACTCCTATATAGTAGGCTTTCCAATATAACAAGGTGTGGTAGGTTGGATGTAAAGATAACTGCCAAAATTTCCTCCTATGATCAAGCTGCTTCTCATTAACACATGGAGTCTGTTTCCTCTTTCCACCAATCTAATCCTTCTGTCACTGGAATACTGCAGAAGGAATACAATGCCAGTTCCAGAACTAGGTTTTGAGAAAACTAGGTTCACCCTTCCTCCTTCACTCTCTTGGAAGCCAGTCACCATGTAAGAAAGCTTAGGCTAAACTCCTGAATGCAGAAAGGCTTTATGGAGGACAGTCAAGTAGCTCCAGCCAAGAGGCAGCACCAGACATCAGCAATGTTAGTGAAGCCATCTTGGACCCAGATAGGCCTAGATAGCTGACACCTCATAAAAAAGAGACTAGCCGTCACTGCTAAGCCCTGCCTGGATTCCTGGCTATAGAATTGTGAGAAATAAAACATCTGCTGTTTTTAGTCACTAAGTCTTGGAGTCATTTATAATGCAGCAATAGGCAATTGAAACACAAAGTGATAATGTTTTCTTGCTGTGTAAAATTGCTGTAGTCATTTCACAATGATTAAGAATTAGCGAGTCACTAACAGCTCTACATGGTAAGGAACACTTTCTTCTGAATATGTGTTTTCAAAGTCTTCCCTCAAAAGGAGAACTTATTTGTTTCTATGTATGCATCGCCTTATCCTATGTACTTATATTTTAAAAATAATTAAATACAAATAAATGGGGAAATATTTGTAACAAATGAGATATTCTTAACAAGTAAAACCTTTTCACAAATAAAAAAGAAAAATACTAACACCTTAATTTTAAAAATGGAAAAAGCTATTTCTCTGAAGAACCATAATGGCCAATAAACATGAGGGGAAAATATCTTAACCTTGAACTAAGTTAAAACATTAGGCATCATTTTTCACCCACTAAATGTCCACCCCCCTCCAAAAAAAAAAAAAAAAGTATAGTAAGACTTAATGCCAGCTACGTTCCAGTAACAAATAGGAAAACCGTACGTCAGAAGCCCAGAGTCTGGGACACCAGAGTCTCCTTGAAGTATGGGGACTTCGGCGTCCTTGGCCACAAGTTGCCTGACTTTGGGCAACATCTAGGGCTGTAAAATGGGACAAGATAGCTACCGCACAGAGCTGTTTCAAGGCCAAAATGATATGCAATGTTAAGTGTTAATTTTTGGCCAATCTGTTCACCCTTGCGTTTACTTTTGTCGGAGACTCTGGAAAAAAAACAGGATTACAGGAAAACCCTAATACTTCCCGGGGAAATTGGGATGGGAAGAGGCAGGACACAACATGAAGAATGATGGTTGAAAGCAAAGGCCAGAAGGGAAGGTGGCCAAGGCGGGGTCCGTGCCCTAGTGAGCCGCGGCTCACAAAGACCCCAGCCTCTCAGCGCACCTTCGCCAGGGCTTCCGGGTTCCGCCGGGCGAGCAGCCCCAGAGGGAAGGCGGGAGAAAGAGTAGAACCCGCAGCGCTGATTGGTGCCCGAGAGCAAGGGGTGGGCAAACACAGGCTCGGGAGGCCGCGAGAGCGGAAGATCGCGGGCGCGCACTTCCTGTCTTTGTGGCTCGTGGCTCGCGGTCAGGAACTTGCTCCCTGGCAGCTTCTGGGCTTCGGGGTGAGGGACGCGGGCACCCAAGCGGAGGGAGGGCGGGGAGGGCGCGCGGCCCGGGCGGCGGGCGTGGGGTGGAGGAGCACCTTTCCCCGGCCAGCCCCGGGTCGCGGCCCCATGGCGGAGGCCTGCCCTCGAACCCCTGCTTTCCATCAGAAAGTGCAGTTGTTCCCCCCACTCCCATGATTTCGCAACTCCTGTGATTTAACCACGGATATAAAAATAGAAGGCTAGTTAATGCAGCCGGGCTAGTTAATAAATCACAAATTTGTGGCCTAAGTATTATAATTAACCTTTAGAATTTTACTCAATCTGTCCTCGAGGGCATACACTCCTATCGATATCCTCCCATCCTAAAGTCAGTTCATGTTTGGTCTATATCACAAAATTTAAAACATAATTATTTATTACCATATCTCACTTTGAAAATTTTTTACTCCCGGGACATTTTAAGCTTTTTGAGAGCTGAGGTTGATCTTTATTGCTTCTATTGTGCCTATGATCTCTAACATGTTTTTGGAACACATGGTAAGCATCTTATAAATACTTCTTGGTTAATTCCTCAGAACACTCATTTATTCACAAATAAAAACCTTAACCTAATGCCTAGCTCAGGACAGAGCCCATAGTAAGTACCTCAGTGTTTGTTGATGAAATTCGGTGAACACCAAATGTGATCAAATGGCAAATATCCCATAATATTTTTACTTAACTAATGTTTAGTGTGAATTTTAGAAAATGTTTTATGACTACCTTAAATGAAAATCAACATTACCTACTATAGATAAGATAGCTGTAAGTAAATGTTTAAAATGGTCATTATTAAATTCTGCCTAAATATCTTTAGAAGTCTGAAGCCTATACCTTATTGAAAAGAGGCCAGGTGAGGTCGCTTATGCCTGTAATCCCACTACTTTGTGAGGATAAGGTGAGAGGATTGCTTGAGGCCAGGTGTTCCAGGTTACAGTGAGTTTTTTTTTTTTTTTTTTTTTTTTTTTTTGAGACAGAGTCTCACTTTGTTGCCCGGGCTAGAGTGAGTGCCGTGGCGTCAGCCTAGCTCACAGCAACCTCAAACTCCTGGGCTCGAGTGATCCTTCTGCCTCAGCCTCCCGGGTAGCTGGGACTACAGGCATGCGCCACCATGCCCGGCTAATTTTTTATATATATATCAGTTGGCCAATTAATTTCTTTCTATTTATAGTAGAGACGGGGTCTTGCTCAGGCTGGTTTTGAACTCCTGACCTTGAGCAATCCGCCCGCCTCGGCCTCCCAAGAGCTAGGATTACAGGCGTGAGCCACAGCGCCCGGCCTACAGTGAGTTTTGATTGCGCCACTGCACTCCACCCTAGGTGACAGAGTGAGACCCCGTCTCTACAACAATAAATAAAATAGAAAGGGAGGTCTTAAGATTTAACATACATGTGAAAGACAGATTTTTCTCCTTGATGCAGTCAGGATTGAAAGAGAATTAAAAAGGAAATAATTTTCCCATTATGTGATTGACATTAATACTGTATTCTTTTGCTTCTAAAATATGTTTTCAAATAATAGTGATAGGAATTCTCCATAATAAGAGACACTGAATGAGGCATAGGATTTTTAGTTTGTCATTTGATTACTGTTTAATTATAGTTGCAAACCCACTTCCTTTCAGTGTGTTACTGGAGTGACTGGTCTTTATTAGTACAAGTTCTTTTTTTTTTCCCTATATATATTAGTTGGCCAATTAATTTCTTTCTGTTTATAGTAAAGACGGGGTCTCGCTCTTGCTCAGGCTGGTTTCAAACTCCTGACCTTGAGCAATCCGCCTGCCTCAGCCTCCCAGAGTGCTAAGATTACAGGCATGAGCCACCGCGCCCAGCCACAAGTTCTTAGAGGTTGTTTTCACTGCTATAAGTTAACAGTGCCTTTTTTTCTATATGTATATATCCTTCAGGAAAGAAGAAACTATTCACACTCCTGAAGCACAGAACCCAGTTGTACTGAACTTTTGGCTAAACTGTTTTAGCCCAGAATGGCTGTGGAATCCAGAGGAGTGTCAAGTGGGATACCTCAGGGACCAGAACTAATACTAGTGAAAATAGAAGAGGATGTTTCCTGGGATCCAAAATTTAAACAGAATGGGAGTACCCAATCCTGCCAAGAAGAATTTCGCCAACAATTCAGAAAGCTTTGCTACCAGGAGACACCTGGGCCCCGGGAGGCTCTGGGCCGACTCCAGGAGCTTTGCCATCAGTGGCTAATGCCAGAGTTGCACACAAAGGAGCAGATCCTAGAACTACTGGTCCTGGAGCAGTTTTTGAGCATCCTGCCTGAGGAGCTGCAGATCTGGGTTCAGCAACACAACCCAAAGAGTGGCGAGGAAGCTGTGACCCTGTTGGAGGATTTGGAGAGGGAGTTTGATGATCCAGGGCAGCAGGTGGGAACAGAGAGAAGTGATACATTATAAGAAAAGGAATTTACAGCTTGGAGCATGTGGTATCATCAAAACAGTAGGGTAAAGATTTTATGTCCCTACTGAACCCTAACCCTGAAATGACTGATAGGGCCATACTTGTTTCTACCCTTAAATGGTCTTTTTTCCCTATCCTTCATCTCTGGAGATGTCCTCGTTAACCTCTTTGAAACTGTTACTAAGCAGTGTTGCTAGGGATTTTCTCACAAAGCTAACCACGCTTTATTGATTTCAGGTCCCAGCTAGTCTACAGGGAGCAGCAGTGCCATGGAAGGATTTAACATGTCTTGGAGCATCCCAAGAGTCAACAAACATCCAGTTCCAGCCTTTAAAGACACAGCTGAAATCCTGGAAACCTTGCCTTTCCCCTAAAAGTGGTAGGAATAGAAACTCATCTGGGAACTCTTATCAGTTAGGCCTCTGTTTTTGAGGATACAGAATTAATTCATTTTATAAACGTGCTACATGTGAGCATCAACTTCATTATTCTAAACCAGAGGTGTTCACTTTAGCATTTTATATTCGGCAACCCTCACGAAATTGCAGTCAGTCCTCTTTGTGTCAGTTTCCCTGTCATTCATTTACTTCATTTTATAACTTTATAGGCTACTAATACATGTCTAGTGCTGTGGTAGGCACTAGGTCTCTGTCTTCAAGGAGCTTTCAGGTCTAGGTGGTGGGTGATAGACAAGCAAAAAGGCAATTGCGATATAGCATAGTAAATTATAGAATAAAAGTAGGCACTGGGTACTATGGGAGCACATAAAAAGGCACCTAACCCAATCTTACAAGTTCAAGAAACACTTTCTGGAAGAAGAGACATCTAAACTAAAACTTGAACTATGAGTAGGAGAAAGCCAAGTAAGTAGGTGGGAGGAGGAGTGGCTAAGATAAAGACCACAGAGTGCTTAAGGTGAGATAATATAACAAGTTTTGAAAATTGCAGTTGGTTCAATTTGATTTGAATAAAGAATTGATGGGAGAAGGATGGTAAGAGATGAACTAGAGAGGAAAATGGGACCCAAGGTGTGAAAACCTGTATGTCTTGCTCATTCATTTATACAGTCTCTTAAGTGCAGTGGGGTACAGTTGAAGGATTTTGGACAAGAGAATGACAGGTTTGGATTTGTGGTTTAGAACTTAGCTGCGAAGTTGAGAATGGATTTGAGGAAGGCAATAATAGAATACTGTTAGAAGCTGTTGTAATCCAAGTGGCCACAGTGAATAAATCAATATGTGTTATGGTAGGGGTGGGGAAGATAGAAGCTGACTTCTGTTCATCAGCATTTAAACTTCATCGCAATATCTGATAATTGTTAAAAGTAGAGCATGAGGAAGAGGAGTTGAAGATGATACTCAGGTTTCAGTCTTGAACCTGGTTAATGGTGATACAGTTAATGTAAAGGGGGAAAACAAACACATCTAATGATGTGTTTAGTTTGGGACATTTTGGTGCATGTGAAATATTCACAAGTGAAATGCCCAGTTAGCAGTTGAATGTGAGAGTCTGGAGCTTAATAGAATTGGGGCTCTCAGAGTCTGGGGGATATTAGCTTATAGTATAAGTAGTCATTGAAGCCTGGGAGTAGACAGTTTATAGAGTGAGGATATATGAGAGCCTAGAACAGTATTTGGAGGAATACAGTGTTTGAGTGACTAGCCCTAGAATCTAAGAAGAAACAGCCACAGAAATCAGGCTGATTCAGCCTCGAAGAGAATATCTCTAGAAAGAATGTGTGGTCCTCAGTGTCAGCTATAGAGAGGTCAACTGAGTACCCATTGGATTAAACAATTTCAAAGTTGGTGACCTTGATTCGAGTCCTATCAGTGGTGGTGATGAGGGTTGGGGAAGGAAGGTAAGACAGAAACCAGATTGCAGAATGGGGATGAGTACAGACAAGCCTTTTCAAGAAACTTTATTGTGAATGAGAGTGAGTGAGGTTGCTTGAAGGAGATGTATAGGTAAGGAGCTTGATTTTAAAAGATGAGAAAGACTTGAGCTTATTTAAATGCTGATGAACAAGAGTCAGTAGAGAAAGAGGTTGAAAATAATAGGAAGGAGATAGTAAGTGATTGATCAGTTGATATCTCAAAGGAGGCAGGAAAAGATGAAATTCAAAGTGTGGATGTAGGCTTTAACATTAGAAAAGAGGAGAGACCCTATTTTGACCAGTGCCATTTTTGCAGGAAGAAGCTGCTCTTTTCTGTCATGTAGAAAGTAAATATTGTGAGAGTGACTGGAGAAATGTAAAAATCTGTTTTTTGCTATTTGTCATTTCAGATTGTGAGAACAATGGAACAGCAACAAAGGAGGACATTTCAGGAGAAAAATCACAGAGACCTCATGGGGAACCTTCACTTGGAGGAGTTAGTAAGCATGAAAGCAATTTAGAGTGGAAGCAAGGAAGTGCTACAGGGGAGAAATTAAGAAGATCTCCTTCCCAAGGGGGCAGTTTTAGGCAAGTGATCTTCACACACACATCTCCAGGAAAGAGAACCCATTATGATGATTCTGAAAGATGTTTGATTCTAACTGCAAACTCTATAACGTGTCAGAAATTTCCTCCAGAAGAGAGACCTTATAGATGTGATATATGTGGGCACAGCTTTAAGCAGTATTCCTCTCTAACACAACATCAAAGAATCCATACCGGAGAAAAGCCTTATAAGTGTAACCAGTGTGGGAAGGCCTTTAGTTTGAGGTCATACCTTATTATTCATCAGAGAATTCATAGTGGTGAAAAAGCATATGAATGTAGTGAATGTGGGAAAGCCTTCAATCAGAGCTCAGCCCTCATTAGACATCGGAAAATCCATACTGGTGAGAAAGCTTGTAAATGTAATGAGTGTGGCAAAGCATTCAGCCAAAGTTCATATCTCATTATACATCAAAGAATTCACACTGGTGAGAAACCTTATGAGTGTAATGAGTGTGGGAAAACCTTTAGCCAGAGCTCAAAACTTATTAGACACCAGCGAATTCATACAGGAGAAAGACCCTATGAATGTAACGAATGTGGGAAAGCTTTCAGGCAGAGCTCAGAGCTCATTACTCATCAGAGAATCCATAGTGGCGAGAAACCCTACGAATGCAATGAATGTGGAAAAGCCTTCAGTTTGAGTTCAAACCTTATCAGACACCAGAGAATTCATAGTGGAGAGGAACCTTATCGGTGTAATGAATGTGGCAAAACCTTCAAAAGGAGCTCAGCCCTTGTTCAGCATCAGAGAATTCATTCTGGGGATGAGGCTTATATATGTAGTGAATGTGGGAAGACATTCAGGCACAGATCGGTCCTTATGCGTCACCAGAGAGTCCACACTGTAAAGTAACTTGTGAATATTGTAAATACTTCAGATTTTTATCTTCACTAATCAAAAAGGTTTACTTTAAAGGAAGACTCCATAAAGGTTGTAAACTACCAGATCTTGAGTCCATCTGACTTGCTTTGTGTAGCATTTCCCAATGCCAGTGTAAATTGCCCCTTGAAAGCTTTTCCTGTGACTGATCAGAATAGAAAATAGGAGAATCATTACTTCCAGCTTTTCTCTTACCATTAGGAATACTCAGGAAAAATGAAAAATAGGAATGTAACATTGAAGCCTCATTTTTTTATGGGAATATCATGAAAAGCCACCTAGGCTCTGCCACTAGTGCATCTAAATGTCACTGTATCAGCTCAGAGGGATGGTGTGGCTAGCACGAGGGACTTTGTCTTAGGAACTTGAAATATACTGACCCAATAAAGAACAGTGACAGGACAGCAAGAAAGGAAGGAAAATGATTTCATCAATAATTTGTTAAGCCCGGGGCAGGCTGGAAATTAGACAGGCATAAGATAGAATATAAATTAATTTATCTAACAGTTATTTTTTGAGTACTTGCTTTGTGCCAGGGACTAGGGATACAATGGAAAACAAGAAATAATCTCTACAGTCTAATGGACAAGGCAGTTGACAGTTTTGTGGTCAGTGCTGTGTGACTTTGAGCATCCAACTTAACCTTGGATGAGGAAAATGGGGGAAATGACCTAAAGAATGAGTAGGACTTAGTCTGGGATGTTGGGTAGGGAAGACTGTTCCCAGTAGAGGGAACAACAGACAAAAGCCAGAAAGAACATGTGGTCCATTCCTGTTGAGTTTTTGGTTTTTTTGTTTGTTTGTTTTTTGAAGTGAGGTCATATCTGTAAGAGAAGCACAGGTGTGGCCAGACTTAAATACCACCTATAGGAAAATATATGCCAATGGAGAAGTTTCTGTTAATAAAAAACCTGGAGCCCTTAGACTACTATACAGTGGTCAGGAGCTTTGCCTTGGTCAATGTAACCCCAGGGAAAGGACTAATGTTTCCTTGCCCAACCTGTAGACCAAGGGGTCCTCAAAATTTTTAAATGGGGGGCCAGTTCACTGTCCCTCAGACCATTGGAGGGCCAGACTATAGTTTAAAAAAAACTATGAACAAATTCCTATGCACACTGCACATATCTTATTTTGAAGCAAAAAAAAAAAAAAACAGGCAGAAACACCTGCATATGGCCCGGGGGCCATAGTTTGAGGACGCCTGAACTATCCTAGAACTTCCATGGGGATAGTAGTGGGATTGGGGTGAGAGCGCCCAGCCTAGATGTTAAGAGTCTGTTACAGAGTTCTAAGTCTCCCTCTCCCATTCATAAGGACTCCCTTAGTTCTTAGCACAGTGTCAGAGCTGTTGTCAGGTTCCTTCTCATCCCCAAGACTATGACTCAGAAGCTGCCATATCCCATAGTTCCTGGTACACTTGGGCTCAGACGCTCAGAAAATACTTTTGCGTTGCTGGGTCTTTGACTTATTCTCCAGGCACCTCGCACACATTCAGTTTTGCCTTATGTTACCAGAATTTCACAATATTTTTTGCAAATTTTGTTAAAGACAATGCTAAAAGGAAATGACAGAAACTAATGGTTATGTTCAGTCAAGACTTCCCCTTTTCTGAGGGTCCCAGCCGGATGTGTATCATGAGTTTGGAGCTTAACACAAGGTGGAAAGTTGTACAAGTAAATCAGCAACAGAAAGACGTCATTCCCCTTTAACGGCACAAGATCAAGACAGGGGAGGGGAAACATGTCATTTAAAAGACCTAATAGGTTGGAGCAATAACACACCTTACCAAAAAATAAATAAATCTGTGTGGAAATCTAGAGTCCTGTTCATAGAAAGAAGATTTTCATGAAGATAAAAAGAAATAGGAAAAAAAAAAAAAAGAAGCAAAGAGAAGCAATGCTCCTGTTGGGGCATACATGGTTGGGTATGTGCTAACCAGTAAGAACGACAAGAGAGCTAAATGCCCCAAAAGAGAAAGGAAGGAGATCATTTGGAATTGCTGGTAAAATTTAACAAAATACTTGGTAAGAGCTATTCAACTCTTGTTTTCATCCTGTTTCACAGAGAAAGACCCAAACAAACTGAAAGGAGTAGGGTGTTAAGTAGGAGTTGATACAACATTGAGAAAGGGAATACTCTTTATTTTAAGAGCACTCTTGCATACATCAGTAAGAAACGTAGTAAGTACTTGGCTTTGTATATATGTATTAGTTATTTCTCACTACAGCTCATATTTTCCAGATAGGGAAATGAAGGCTAGAGGTCAAACAGCTAAAAAATAATAACATTAGACTTTGAACCCAAGTGTAAGAACCCAGAGCCCTACTGTGGAGCCAGCCACTTCTCTGTACTGTCTTCTCATGGGAAAGTTCTATAGAAAAAACTAGTCCTTAAATAGGCAAATCACGAAAGAATACATACCAATGAGTAACACGCAAATGTTCAACCTCATTAGAGTTAAAATGCATATTAAAGCAAGAGTTAAAATGACATTTCTTCTCCTTATAAATCTGACAAAGATTTGGGGAAACTGGGACTCTAATGCTGCTGGTAAGATGTGAGTACATACTGTATCTGGCAATCAATACCAGAAGCCTTAAGCATTGCCTTTTGACCGAAATTTTACCTGGAAATGTATGCTTCTGAAGAAACCATCGTGAATGTACACAAAATCTTAAAAGCTGTTCAAACTGATGGTTAATGTTGAAAGAAATTAAGCATTCATGATATATTGTTAAGTAAAAATACTAAATATGTACAATGTGATCCCATGTAAAATATATATTTATTCATTAAAAATAATGGAAATATATAATTCAAGGTGCTATACTGGTTATGTCTGGATGCTGAGGTTACAAGTGATTTATGAATAACCTTTTCTTGTGTTTTTCTGTATTTTCCAAACTTTTCTACAATAAATATCTAATACTCTTAAAATTAGGGGGGAAGAGTGAATGGAAGCCCAGAACAGTTGAGAAAATACTATGAAAAGCACTTGCTTCCCATAGCATCTCAGTCCCTTCCACGTGTCAGGATGTTGGCTAACTTACTAACTTTGATCCTCGCTTTTCATCAGTGGTAAAATAACAATAGCAGACTCAGCCATCTTACACATAGTGTACAAAAAGTCTACAAATTATATATCCCACTGCCAGAAGGAATTTACAGTTGATAAAAGCTATAGCCTTGAAGGTGAAAACCTTTGACAGTTTTTCCATGAATTCTGCAGACATGAACAAGTCACCTCAGTTCTAGACCCTCACTTTAAAGGAGCTGAAGTAGATGATCACTTATGATCAAAGCTTCAACATTCTATTTTTACAAAATGGAGGGAGGCACCAAAACAAGGTGGATGTCAAGGGAAATTGTTTTTTCCTTCACCAGTCTTGCTTGGAAGAGAATTCATGTGTTTACTTTCTGGTCAGGACTGTCTTGTTTCTCTTGGTATAGAGGCAATCCAGGGGTAACAGTGTCTACCTTAAATGGATCTTACATGGATTTAAAAAGATAATGTGCAATTTAGGCAAAGTGTGTAATATTAGTTTCCTGCTTCTCTCTGCCTCGTTTCCATAGCTTTCAACTAACACTGTCTTGCTGTGAAAGGATTGAAAATTTAAAGCAAATCTGACCATGGTCTCTCCAAGCTCACATTTCTATCGAGGAACTGCTGGGGGAGAAAGGGAAGGTCATGGCAGGCCCTTGCCCAGTCCACAGGCCTAAGCTGGTACTTCTCTGCAGTTAATGGTGAGGATTCCAATTTGGTGCATACAACACCCCCCACCGCCGGCCTAAGGGAAGGAAGAGTCCTAAGTCTGGTGGACATAGGATGCCTATGTGTTTAAAGAGGCTCCTTCTTGCTCTCATTTCCATGTTGAGCTTTTCAACAACTCAATCCCAGATGCCCCCTCAATTTTGTGACTTTGCCTGATGAACTGCAGCCCTGAAGACTGGCTGCCACAGTTTCCCACTTTTTGGTTCAAGGGATATAACTGAGTACACCAATCCCCTGACTTCTTCCCACAGCCCCTTCCCTGTCCTCCAAGCATTATCTCCACTCATTATTGTGCTCCGTACTCCTAAATGAATACTTTCAATGCAAACCTTTAAAATTCAAATTTTATTTTGATACATCTTGCATTACATTCTAATATTAAACAGTTTAATTAAAAATGTAAAAATTAGTTACCAAAAATTATTTACTAAACAAGATTTTTCCCAAAAATATTAGAGCTGGGAGAAAAAACACTAATAGAAAGTACTCCAAAATGTTAACAATGTCTCTATGGGGAATGGGATTGTGGGTGATTTATACTTTCTCATCTTGTATATTATGAACATTTATAATCAATTCATAATCAGGAAAAAATCCATTAAAAGATATTTAAAACATTAAATTATTTGATTGTCACCTATAGGAAAACTCAACTCACTATCCATTTGCAGGTTCCCTTCAGATTTGTGATTGACCTCGCTAATGATAACTGCACAATCTTTGGACACAAAGAGGGTAAACTTACCTCCCCTATTACCCACAACAGCTATGATCACCAAGTCTTCTTCAGAAATGACACTGTCTGGAAGGACATCTAAGGAGAGGAATCAAGCTTTCTCTTAGGTATTAATTGCGCTTAGCAAATGTGAGTTAATTAAAACTTCCAAAATAAAAATTAGCAGATAAGAATGGTTTTCAGGAATCTGAGGGGGTAACTCAACAAATATGAATTGTCCTCAAGTAGCTTAGGGTCTGCAAGCGTGGTGGAGAATGTCAGGGAATGAGGAACAGTGGAGCCTGGAAAGATAGTCTTCCCATCACTATGTTCCTGCATGCCTCCCATTTCCTGAGTCCCAGGTATGAGACACAATCACCCCAGTTCCCACTGTCCCTGTGGCCTCCCAGTTTTATTCTTTCCTTGGTGTACATACATGCCTGCTTCCATAAGATGCATCAGAGTCATCTACCACACTAACTCCAAGTAGTTCAAGGTCTCATAGGTCACTCTGGGTCTGGAATAGGCTCCCCAGCTCAGTAATTATAAATAAGAAGACAAATCAACATGTCATGGCTCTGAGTCAGAGCCTGTAATAACTAATGCCTGCTGAAGAGAAGAGTCCTGATGAAGTTGTATCTCCAAATCCTTTCTTATCTTCATGCCATTGTATTAATATGTGCTATAACCGCTGCCTGTAAAGTTCTTCTCTTCTCCCCTGCTGTTGACCTGGGTAACTTCTACCCACCTTTTAGGTCTCAACTGAGATGTCATCCAGGTGGTCTTCGGTGACTCACAGACCAAGTTAGGTGGCCCTGCCATGTACTTAGACAGAACCTTGTATTTTCCTACCAAAGCACTTATCACACTTCACTGTAATTACCTGTTTAGTAAATATGTACACCTTAACTCAAGGAGGGCAATATCTGCTCCAATGGCTATCACATAGCAGGTACTCAATAAATTTGTAAACCTGATTTGACCTCAGCAAGCAGCTCAGGGCTAAGAAGAGAATTAGTTCAGGTGCAGAATGAACCACCATTCCTCAGATACTATTAATATTAAACTGCCTCCAATACTATTAAACTAATATTGTAACTCATTTCACAACTTCTCAATTCAACATTACAGACAGCTGAATAACTCAACATGTGCCCCCACTTGCCAAATGCACAAATTCTCTTGCTGGGCAATGGTCCTTGCCATCTTATAGAAAGCTCTTTCAGACCAATCCTGGACTTACTGTGAAGGTACCCAATGGCAGTTATGTCTGGGCTGGTAGAGAGTGGAGTGAAGGGGGAACTGATGCGCATCCTCATCCAGAAATGTGTTAGGCATTTCTAGGAAGTATCTACCATTATTTTTGGAGAAGACCTGAGCATCCTCATCCAGAAATGTGTTAGGCATTTCTAGGAAGTATCTACCATATTTTTTGGAGAAGAACTTTGGAGAAGACTTCTAGGAAGTATCTACCATTATTTTTGGAGAAATTGTTCTTCCATTCAACAATTTAATAATCATAACAAATATCTTTGTGTGGATCTCTTCTTACAGTACTGAACTGGGTTGGAAAGACAGAAACCATGCTCTCAGAAAATTTCTATCTGTGCAGTCTCACCCCCACAGTGAATTCCTTGCATTTCAAAATTGATGGCTCTTTACTACAGTTAAACCCTGGTGTGTGTTCGCTGATGCTGCATAAGGCCTGACCTATGCCTAAATGTTTTCCTACATTCACTGCATTCATAAGGTTTCTCCCCAGTGTGAATTCTCTGGTGCTGAGTGAGAGCTGAGCTCTGATTGAAGGATTTTCCACATTCACTACATTCATAAGGTTTCTCTCCAGTGTGAATTCTTTGATGTTCAATAAGGATAGAGCTCCTACCAAAAGCCTTACCACACTCAATACATTCATAGCTTTTATCTCCAGTGTGAATTTTCATATGCTGAATAAGGGCTGAGCTCCGGCTGAAGGCTTTCCCACATTCACCACATTCATAAGGCTTCTCTCCAGTATGGATTCTCCGATGCCTGATAAGCTCTGAGCTGCCCCTGAAGGCTTTTCCACATTCACAACATTCATAGGGCTTTTCACCACTATGAATTCTCTGATGTCTAACAAGGTCTGAGCTCAAACTGAAGGCTTTGCCACATTCTTTACATGCATAAGGTCTCTCTCCAGTATGAATTCTTTGATGTCTAATCAGCTTTGAGCTCTGGCAAAAGGCCTTTCCACAGTCAAAGCACTCATAGAGCCTTTCCCCAGTGTAAACTCTCTGTTGTTTAATATTGTTTGATTTCACACCGAGACTTCCTTCACTTCCATTACATTCAAGGACACTTTTTTCCGTGGGGATTTTCTTGTTGAAGGTTGCCAGACTGAAATGTCTTTCCTGGGAAGGAAGAAGACTCATTTTGTTCCTTGCAGCATTTCCCTCTTGCTTCTCAGAGTTGCCTAGACCTCCCAAAGCTTCTTCAACTATCTGTTCTGAAGGCATTTCCCCAGGAAGTCTTCCTGAGGATATCACAGCTGCTGAGGCTGCACATTCAATAATTTCTTGCTTTGCTGTCAACACATTGTCAGCCACCATCTTGTCATCTAACAATGTGAATAGAAAATGCAAATGTCACTTATTCTCCATGTCAGAAGAAAGGAAACTATTGTAGCAGGAACAGAAAATAAACCAAATGTGATAAATGTTTACCTATTAGGAGGAAAATTCTCAAAACTTGCTTCCCAATCTAGAAGAATTCAGAAAAGTGGCCTGGAGTAGTGAGATGTGGCTCCCTCAGAGAGTAAGGTAGACAAAGAATGAGAGTCAGTGTTGGGGAGGAGAGATGGTAGACAAGGAAAGACGTTAGTTAGAGAAAATAGTGACAAACAGTAGAAACCAGGAAGCTAGAAGACAATCCTTGGTTAGAGAAGATACATTTTTAGGTGGTGAGGAAATGGAATAAAGGTGAGAAGGAATACTCAGGATAAAGATGTCTAAGAGTCTTAGTGGTCTTCTAGCAAAGTAGGAGAGCAAAAGATATGATTACAAAATGTTTTGGGAGTTAGTATTAAACAGAAGGTAGCTGAACTAGAACAAAACTAGCAGCATTAAGGCAATTGCAGATTCTGACAGGTTCCAAATGAATCAAATAATTATAATCAAATAGAATAAGATACCCAGAGCATGAGAAGAAATATTGCAGTTTCCTGACTAATTCTGGGATCAGATGGGAGTCTAATAGATTCGCTTTTTTATGTGTAAACTGTCAAAGAAGGGGATGGAAACAATTAGTAGATGTGATTACCCAAAACCAAACCTTCCAGCTCTTATAAAACATGCCTCTTTTATCTTTAGTTTTCTAATAACTCCTAACAGGAGACTATGAGAGAGAGATGGCTGATACAACTTGAATTATTTTATTCTGAAAAACTGTTAAGTTAACCTACTCTTCCCAAGAGTCCTCTAAATGTATGAGCATCTTACAGATCAGGAAACTGAGGCCCAGAGAGGCTATGCAAGGCCATAGAATTAATAATTGGTAGAGTCATGATTCAAATAAAGATGTTTAATATCAATAAAGAAATATTTTAAAAAATTATAAAGTGGCAATATGATATATAAGGACAAAATTAAGAGCTGTGGAAATTAGAAAAGCAATGTAACTTATGGGATTTTAAATATCACTCTAAATTCTATAACCATATAAAGTCAAACTGAGACCAGAGGGAAACTTTGACCTTAGATGTATAGATCAGGAAAACATCAAGATTTTTGTTTTTTCAACTATCCATTTATTATTATATCAAAAAAATCAGAATAAACAGTTAATTGGAATAATTCCCAGAAATGACAGATAGAGATTATAGTAGAATAAGAAATTGTCACTTGAATATTTAGAAATATTGGTATAGAGATAACCTAATTTTGTCAATAACATAATCAAAGTCCTTTCAGTTCTTATCCTTGGCATCTGTGACAGCTCTCAATGTATTGCCTCTTAGTTTCAAATCCACCCTTCACTGCCCTGCCTGTGATACTGGAATATTTCTCTCTTGCCAGCTGGCATGATGCAACTTATGTCAACAGAGGGGGCTGGAGGGGCACTGGAAGAGGAAGGGGCTTTTCTTCCTGGTTCTGGCATGCTCTCTGTGTTTGTTTCTGTAGCACTTGGGACACCCAGCAGTGCACACCCCAATGAGTTCCAGAGGCACCATCTCTGTGGGTGCCTTCCAAGCAAGCTCTGTGCCATGTCACCGCCCCATGGGGGCCTTCTGGCACCCCAGAGAGTGGCTCCTCATTGAGTTCTGCCAGCTCAGCACTCAGTGAGTATCTCCATCCAGAGGCTGGGGTTGCGCCCTCTCAGCCCAGGCAGGGAAGAGGATCTGGATCCTCAGCCCAGGCAGAGAAGAGGAAGACATGGCACCCTCTTGCAGATTTGTTCCTTCCTTGGGTGTTCTGCCTCAGCTCTAGAGACTCCTCATATCTGTTATTCCTGTATGCTTTAAAGTTTGGTTTTTTGTTACACCACTTAGTAGTTAAAGCACTGTTATATTAATAGTTCATAATTCTTTTTTTTTTTCACCAGACTTCTGTCTATATAATTCTTAATATTAAACTTTTCCCTATTCAAGTTGTTATATGTTTTCTATTACTGATACAGTTTCTGATACAGTTTCAACTCCATCTTAGGGACTACCTTGCCAATGGCAATAAATTTTTAAACAATAGAATATTGGTCTTTGAATATTATGGCTACTTTAGAGAATTTTATTAAAGACCTTATTCTTAACTCAAAGTTAGAAATGATATTGGAATTTCAGATTCTAAGCAGAGCCAATGGAAGAATATTTCTAGGCAAGGAGGCCTTACCACAATATTCAGTGATGGCCACAGTGACTGTCACTACGAAAATGAACCATACCACAGATGATAGCCCTCACCTCTATCCTAAATCCCAAAAGGACTGGGGCTCCTCACCTCTCTCCTTGAAAGCCTGGGGCTCCTGAGCCTCACTCTTGCACTGGTTCTCCAAGGGCTGCAGCAGGCTACTCAGAGACTTCAGGGCTCCCATGGATGTCATTTCCTTCCAGATCATTTCTTGGCCATGAGCTGTGTCCTAGGAGTAGAGTAATCAAGTACCAGCACTATGATTCTGAGGATACACAGGAGGAAAACTCCTAGAGTAACAGGGCAGGGCAGGAGGAATTAAAAACTCAATCAAATGACTAGAGAGAAAAATAACAGGACTAAAACCCATAGTGACTTAAGCCCAGGAAATAAATAATTAATAACCCAAAAGACAGAAATGGTATAATTCTCTTAGAGCAGAGTCATTGCCACTCATAACTGCTTCCCCATTAATTTACAAAAGGTCTAACCAATAAAACACCTACTTCTTACCTGTTGCCTTGGCTCATCAAGTTCCTTCTCCAGCTCCTCCAGCATAGTCACGGCTTCCTCTCCATTCTCTGGCCGATGCTCTCGCACCCAGGCCTGCAACTCCTCAGGCAGGATGGCCAGGAACTGCTCCAGCACCAGCAGCTCCAGGATCTGCTCCTTGGAGTGCACTTCTGGCCGCAGCCACTGACAACATAGCTCCCAGAGTCGGCTCAGAGCCTCCCGGGGCCCAGTGGAGTCAGAGTAACCAAATTGCCTGAACCGCTGACGGCATACCTCCTGGTTCCAGGGGTTTCCCTGAAGGCCAAAGTCCTGCCCCCAAACATAATTCTCTTCTTCAACCTTCACAATTATAAGTCCTTCTTGTTCTTTCGGAGCATGGTAGGTCAAAGCTGTGGCCTCTCCTGACATTCTGGGCAGAAACAGTCTGAAAAGGCTGCCCAGCTGAGGCAGGGGAGAGCTTTGTGTCTGAGAGATTCCCTCTAAATTCCAACTCTTCAGGGAGCTCCTGAGGTGAACAATGCTCGTGTTACACAGGGGAAACATGTGCTTGGAATATAAACACAGGTTTTTAAAGGCCAGTTTGTAAAGACAATTGACTAAAAGGGAGCTTCCATATAAATGATACATATATAAATGATGCAGGATTTTTTTCAGGATGTGAAATACAAATTTTCAGTGTAGCCAAAATCAATTTGACCTTTAATAATAATGTTAGGGACAACATCATGGATAATAGTGCTCATAGATCATGGCAAGCAGGAAAAATACTGTAGTACATTATTTTGTCTAGAATAATAACTAACATTTTGTTGAGTATTAGCCGGACACTTATATAAATTTGATATAATTTTTCTAACAACTCAATAAGGACAATGATAAAATTATGCCCATTTTCCAAAGGAGGTTTCTGAGAATCATAAGATGACCAACAACACACAGCCAGTGAGCAGTAGAACTGGGCTCTGCAACGAAAGTCTTTAGCTTTTTCTATTACACATGGGACCTCCCAAAGGAAGGGAAATCATACTTAATAAACATCTACTATAGGCCAGGCACTTCACAAATACTATTTTATTGGGGCTTGACAATAACACTGTGAGATAAGTATTATCATATCCATTTTACAGATGAGGAAACTGAGGTTCTTGAAAATTAAGTAATTTGCCCAAGGCTCCAAAATGGTAAATAGCAAAATCAAGACATGAACCCAGGATTGCCCAACTCTGAAGACCTTGCTCTTTTGATTACAGAATGCATTAATGCCCAGGAATCTTAGTTGATACTATAAATTAGGAATGATGGTGAAAATGTTAGGAAGGGGTCAAGAAGAATGGCCAGGGTGAATGTACACAGGATAAATTATTCTTGACTTTAAGTCACAAGGTCCTGAAACAGCACAAAGAAAAGAGAAATGGATTCCTTCATCCTTTCTTTCAACAAATAGTTGAGTCTTTGGAAGTATCACTGGACAGAAAAAAAAAAAAAAGAATAAAAACAAATACTTGAGCATTTTCCTGTGTGCTAGGCAGGAGTCTTAGGATTAAAAGGTCTGTCCCCAGGGACTCTTAGTGTAGAGTCAGAAAGCATAAATAGTGTGATAAATCCAAGGATGGAGGCAAGCAGACAAGGTAGCACAAGGGAAAGATGACTGACCAAGACCAGGGAGACGGGCAGGAAGAGCCAGGGAGAGCTGCCTGGAGGAGACATCTCAGCAGTCTGATATGAGCCAGCCAGGTGAAGATGTAGAGGAAGGTCACCCAGGCAAAGAAAATGGAGAGTATGAGAGGGTGTGGCCCACTGAGGAAACTGAAGGTAGTCCGGCAAGACCAGACTAGTGGTTTTCACCTCTGACTATGGCTCAGGATCAGCCATGGAGCATCTTTAGGCTCAGAGAGGCTATGCAAGGCCACAGAATTAATAATTGCTAGAGTCACAATTCAAATAAAGATGTTTAAGCATGGTGGGGCTTCAATAAGTGCCACAAGTGCTTGTGATGTGCAGCCTGGTGAAGAACCCTGCACTAGCCTGGGGCACAGTTAAAGAACAGAAAGATAGGAGGCACCTATAGAGGAACTGCCAGGCCACCAAGGGCTTGAGGGGTTGTGCCACAGACTCTGCATTTGATCTTCATGGCCACAGGGAAGGCTGGAGACTCTGTCAGTCCACCCACAGAGTGATGTAAAGAAGATGGGAAGGGGATTTTTTCAACCATTCTGGTAAGAGACAATGAGGACCTGAGCCATGGGAGCCAAAAGATATAAAGATGGGAGATTAGGAACATGCTCAATAAGGATTTCGAACAGAGAGGAGTCAAGAAGGTGGCCCTGGTGACTGGAGGATGGCAGTGTCATTTGCTGAGCTATTCATTAAAAAAGTTAGGTCTAAGATGCCTACAAAGAGCATTTTCTAAACTCTGCTTTGCCAGACATTACCAAATGCTTCACACACATCTAAATACGGAGAAACTTGGGGATACTTTTCTTCTTAATTTTTTAGTATAAGAAAAATACATTTCTCTAGTTCTTGTAATGTGACAATCATCATTTAAGAAATTTCTGGGCATGGATGTGTATGTAGCATTTACCAAGAGCTGTATCGCACTGATGTGTGTTCTTCATTTAGTGACCATTAGTCCATGTTATGTCACCTTTTCATTTCAATGTTTGTGGTATTATTCTATTTTATTAAAAATATTGTGTCTTACCAACTTGCCTCTATGGGTATGTCACTGAGAGATGTTTTTAATCATAAAGCATCATCTCTGCTCCTTTCCCATCTCTTTCAGAGGCCTACCCTTCTCTACGTCAGCCCATGAGGTTAGCCCTAAGTCCTCCCCTTTTTCACTCTCTAATTTCCTCCTGGGCAAACTCATCCTCTCCTTGGGTTATCATCCATCTAGTCTAGACATCCCATCTGAGCTCCAGACCTATTTACCCATGGTTCCTTACTCCTACCATAATTCCTTTTGAATTTCTCAAAAGGACCTCAAATTCAGCACATCCATAATTAACTCATGGTTCCTCATACCCTAAAACTGCTCCTCCTCCAGTGGTTCCCTCTCAAGAAGTAGGAACATCCACCTGGCTGCACAGCCAAAAATATAGAAGCATCCCTAAGTGGTCCTTTTTTTTTAAGTTCCTCCCTTTATCTAATGCAAAGTTAGTCCTGTTGATTTTATTTCCTAACTCCAGAATCTATCCTTTCTGACCTCTGCCACCATCTTCGTCTCAGCAACTATCCTGTCACACTGCACAGTAATTCACCGACTGGCTTCCCCACATTCACTTGGTCCTTCTTAGTCTGTCATCTACTTTATAATCAGAGTGATCTTTTCAAATTGCAAATCTGATCATGTTCCTCTGACTAGTTTTTAAAAAGCAAAAACAAAAACTCCGTAACAGAGGCAAGGCGCTCTTTGATTGTACTCATTTCATTTGCCTGGGCTGCACCCCAGCCCAAGTCAGAATCCCAATGGCCATATTTCTAAAACATTCTGCAAGTGATTCTGGTGGCAGCCAGGGTTAAGAACCCTGGGCCAGCAAGGACTCATGAGAGACAAGGTTAAAGAGAATTGCATTCCTTTCTCTCAGAGCATTTTTCTCACTGTCAGTATATATACTTTAGTGGGACTAGTTGGTTAATACCTGTCTTATCCATGACTAGATTGTAAGCTACATCAACATTTTGTTCACTATTGTGTCTCCATCACTCAACCCAACACATGGCACATAGCATGTTCTATACATAAAAGAATGAGTGTCATTATGGTCCAGGGAGGAGAATTTCCAAGAGGCAATTGTCGATATTGCCAAATGCCTAATAAGGACTGCAAAATGTTTTCACAGCACTTTATATACTACAGAGAGGTGATCTAGCTCACCTAGAGAGCCAGCTTCGGAGTTAGGTAACCCAATTTAGAATCATGCCTCTTACTAGCTGTATGATATTAGTCACCAACTGAACCTTTCTGAGATACAATTTCCTCTCCTAAAAATAGAGTTAATAATATAACATTGCAGCATTCCAGGAATTAGAAATAACATAAGGCAGCTGACAAGTGCTTGCTGCATTGAATACCTTTTTATACTGATGCTTTGACATCTGGGGCCTTAATGGCACTGAAGGGGCTAGCCTCTCAGGGCTGGTCAATTCCTAGAGATAGTAAACAATTCATCTGTGAGTGTGCCTTTCATACATACCCCCACCACTTCCTCTACCAGGCTCTCACACTCAGGGCCACCATTCCCCTGCCCTAACCACCTTAGAGACAGGTACCCAAAAACTAGGGACAACAAATACACCCAGAGCCAACTGAAATTATTCAAACTAGCCAGTGCTAAGCCTGTTTACTCTGCCTTGTCCTTTCCCATGGAAACCACGGTAAAAGCCCCTGCCTTTCTCTTACTCCCTCTGCCTCCTAACTAACCCTGATGCTTCCCTGTGTGGCCCAGCATGGCCAGGCATGTCCCCTTCACATGGAAACTGAGAAACAAACTACGTTTTCAATGGCAACCATCTCCTGATCTGTTGTCTTCACCATGCCTGAATAATAATAAAATCTACATTTTCAAACACTTGGCTCAGAGGAGATAAGAGGCAAGGGAAGGGCCAAATTCCACATCACAAGGCATGAGTTATAGAATAGGCTTTATGGGGGAAACTTACCAGCCAGAGGTTAGTAAAGAAAGCACAGGTCCCTGATTCTCCCATCATCCCACAGAAGGGAAGTCTGAGGAGAGGCGTTCTTGTGTTTCAGGAGAGAGCTCCCTCTACCTTCTCATGGTGCAAATGTGAGCAACCAGCTTTGGGGAATATTAGTGAGGTGTATAAGCTGACTGTTTTGGACTGGAAGTCTACATTTGGGTGTCAGTTGCATAGAGTTGTCCAGGGAACCAGCTACTCAGCATATGGAGGGGAGGGATGGGAAGAGCTGAGGAAATGGAAAGCACTGAGTTTGGATATAGACCTCCCTCTGGGAAAATGTGAGTCCTTGATCCTAGCTAGCTCTTAGTCCAAGCAACCCAGAGGGAACCTCCAGGGCACTTATGGACAATCCTGTTTGCTGCAGCACCACTGTTATTATAATGTAACAGGTATTATAATGTATCTGTTTGCTTAACTGTAACAGAAAACACTTAACTGAACCTTCATTACAGAGTCAAGCACTGTCTACCTGTTTTAAGTATCTTCACTCATTTTATCTTCACTGCACTCTATCGTGTAGTTCAGTTGCTTAACTGAAGAGAAACAGAGAAGTTATGTAATTTGTTCCAGGTCATATGGCTTGTAAGTGATGTCGCTGGACAGTTTTGAAACCAAATGATCTGACTCCAGAATCCTTACTCTTAGATGCCTACTCTCTGCTGAAATGCCTTCACACGTTTGCACTTCCCACCAATCAAACCGCCCTTTAGAAGAGGACCTGCGTTTTTCACACATTTATTTTATAACATTTACTGAGTGCCTGTCTGTGTGCAGGCATTGTGCTAGGTGCTGAGCAAATAGTTATAAACAACGCAGTGTCCTTGCCATTACATAACTTAAAAATAGTAGGGAAGGCAGACGTTAAATAGAAAGCATACATAATTACCTAATCTAATTGTGATTGAAAATACTACACAAGAGAAAGTAGAAGGTGCTCTGACAGCAACCGATAAAGGATCTCATCCAGACCTGGGGAGTTGAGACGGATGACTGACACCTGACTCAAGAGCGAGCCTTGGCCGTGTGAGAAGTAGCAGGAAAGCACGTCTGACTCCTAACTCCTAAGCCTGCAGCCCAGCACACAGAAGGCGCTGAGTAAGTACTCGAGGAGTCAAAGGAGCCAAGGGGGAGTGGATGATGGACCCACGGACCTGCAGGCTGACAGCGCCGCTTAGGGGCAGGACCCTGGAACAGCCGAAGCCCTTCCCAGTGGCCCGGGGCAGGCCAAGGGGGCCCAGGCAAGGCGGCGGGGAGGGCTGAGGCCGGACAGGGAAGCACCTAGGGCCGCGCTGCCGGACTGCCCCACTCACCCTTCGCTCTACCCGCTGTGGGCACCGGTCCCCGAGAGGGAGCAGGACGCCCTCCTTGCGCCTCACTCGCGCCGGAAGCGGGGCGGCGCGCCCCTCTAGGAAGCCCGGAGGACTGCAGCTCCGCGGCTCGCGCAGCGTCAGGTCTCGGAAGGAGGGGCGCAGGTCCGGGTCAGACCTGGCGGGGACATCCAGGGTAAAACGGTTGACGGGTGACTGAAGGGGGTGTGGGAGAATAAATACATAAACTTGTATATTTGACATATATGTAAATATATAAAAATATACGTATATATTTAAATATACGTATTTTCCCCTCTTTTAGTTGCAGGCTAGTATAGCATCAAAAGAATTTTAAAAAATAGAACCCACGGACTCTACATCTTGAGAGGAAGAGGGCCAGACCACACTCACCTCAACCACGTCTACAGTGACGGTTCCAGGAGCTGCGGGGAGGGCGGCGAGGTGGCGGTCCTGCCCAGGATGGCGAGGGCGCAGGGCGGTGGGGAGGAGGATTCGGGGCGGTGAGCGGAGCAGGTTGTAATGATTTCCTCGTGGGACGTGCTGCTCACGCTGAGCCTCGCCGAATGGCTGCAATGTTGGCACAGACGGAGGAGCTTACAGGTTTCCCGCGTAGGGAGCGGCAGGAGCGAGACACAGCCGTGGGAAATTCAGGACGCGCTCGGGAATTAGCCCGGCATCTTGGTCGGCCTGAACCTAGGCTAAGGGATTGGTTGAAGTTAGTTGGGTTGTGGAGAGTTTCCAATGTATATAGTAATCTGTGCAGACTATTTAATTGTGACGTGGCCAGAACTGTACTTCAGAGCAGTATCTGACAGTATTATGCAGAGTGGATAAAAGGGCAAAAGAGATGACAGAAGAACAGGTGCCTAGACATGTGAATTTAGCAAGCTTTGATAATATATAAAAATATGATGGGAGAATAAGGGAACAAATATTGTTCCCAGCCCCATGCTTTCCTGTGGAACTTCAGTAAAGTGTTAGACTTCCTCACCCTATCCTTTGTATCTCTTACCTCCTCTTTTTTTTTCATTTTTCTCATTTGCATATTTTATCACCCATTTTCCAGATTACTAACTCTCCCTTCAGTGATAGTTTACTTTTCAAAGTAATATTTAAACATTTCCCTTAAGTTCTCAATTTCTGTAATTGAATTTTTTTAATTCAGAATTTGTTTGGTTCATGTTCATATCTATGTCACTTTTTAAAGATTTTTTATTTATACATAACATAAAATTTACCATTTTAACCATTTTTCAGTATACACTTCAGCAGCATTAAGTACATTCACATGATTGTACAAGCACTACTATCCATCTCCAGAGCTTTTTCATCTTCCCAAACTGAAACTCCATATCGATTAACCCTTTGCACTCGCTTGCTTTTTTCTCATTATCCACTCGACATTATCCACACTCGACATGCGAGTGCAAAGGGTTAAACAATAACCCCACATTCTCTCACCCCAACCCCCGGCAACCAACATTCTACTTGCTGACTCTCTAAATTTGACTAGGCTAAGTACCTAATATAAGTGAGATCAGACAATTTTTATCTTTTAGTCACTGGCTTATTTTACTTAATATCTTCCCAGTTCATCCAGGCTGTAACACATGTCAGAATTTCCTTTCTTTTTAGGGCTGAATAATATTCCATTGCATGTATATAACACATTTTATTTATCCATTCATCTTTCAAAGGACAGGTGGGTGTCTTCCACCTTCGGGCTATTGTGAATAGCCCCTGTTATGAATGTGATTGTACCTTTGATCTATTTTCAATTAATTTTTGGATATGGTGTAAGAGTCCAACTTCATTCCACTGCATGTGGATATCCAGTTTCCCCAGTATCATTTGTTGAATAGATTACCCTTTTCCCCACTGAGTGGTCTTAGCACCTTTCTCAAAAATCAATTGATCACATATATGAGGATTTATTTCTGAGCTCACTATTCTATTTCATTGATCTCTCTGTTTACCCTCATGCCAGTACCACAGTTTTGATTACTGTAGCTTAGTAGTATGTTTTCTTTCCATTTATTTTTTATTTGTATATATTCATGAGGTACAAGGGTAATTTTGCTACATTGATATATTGCATTGTGGTGAAGTCAGGGCCTTCAGTGCACACGTCACTGAAGCAATGTACATTGTACCCACCAAGGGACCTGGCCATCATTCATCTCCCTCCTCCCTCCACACCTAACCAAGTCATTCAACATTCTGCTTCCATGTGTACATGTTATTGAGCTCACAAGTATTAACATAATGGTCTTCCACCTATGTTGCTGTGAGCCATGATTTCATTCTTTTTTATGGCTGAACAGTATTCCACCATGTATATATATATCACATTTTCTTTATCCAATCCTCTGCTGATGGACAGTTAGGTTGATTCCATATCTTTGCTATTGTGAATAGGGCTGTGATAAACAAACAAGTGCAGGTATCTTTTTTAGATATTGATTGCTTTTCCTTTGCGTAGATATCCAGCAGTGTGATTGCTGGATTGTATGGTAGTTCTACTTCTAGTTCTTTGAGAAATCTCCACAATGTTTTCCATGGAGGTTGCATTAATTTACATTCCCACCAACAGTGTATGAGTTCTCTTTTCTCCCTATCCTCCCCAATATCTGTTATTTTTTACCTTTTTAATAATAGCCATCTGATTGGTGAAATATGATATCTCATTATCATTTTGTTTTACATTTCTCTGATGATTAGTGAAGTTGAATCTTTTTTCATAAGCTTGCTGGCCATTTGTCTTCTTTTCAAAAGTGTCTATTCATGTTCTTAGCCCACATTTTAATGAGATTATTTGTTTTTGTTGTTTGAATTCCTTTTAAATTCTACATATAAATCCCCTGTTGGATGTAATTTGCAATTATTTTCTCCCATTCTGCAGGTTGTCCAAGCTGTTGATTATTTCTTTTGCTGTGCAGAAGTTCTGTGACTTAGTCAAGTCTCATTTGTCTATTTTTGTTTTTGTTGCCTGTGCTTTCAAGGTCTTAGTCATGAATTATTTGCCTA